GAACACACATATTTACTTTATATCCTCTCATTCAGTTGCAAACATAATCAAAACTCTTTCAAAAAAGCATTTAAATAGCATGTATTTTTTTTAAAAGTGCAGGTAATAAATCTCCATAATAAGATTTTTATTCAAACAAATTGTGAACACACTGCTTTGCAACTTATAAACAAAATATAGTTTTCTGGAATTCCCTTGGCTTCAATTGTGTGAAGAATTCATAAAGGGAAATGTAAACCCAATGGGGCTTTAATGTCCTCATATTTAATCTTCCATTAAGCAGCATTTCAAAAGACAAAAATGGCAAAAATATACAATACAAGAGCACTTAAATCCACTCAACACATTGTAGACTGTCAAAAATTAAAATATATTGTGTATTTTATTATGGAAAGCAGAGTCAAGGGCATCAGCCAACTGATCTGATAATCCAATAAACTATTTAGAAGATGTTTTATGCATAGATAAGAGCTTTGGACAAGCTGCGTGCTCGGGCTATTTAGCATCGCAAATATACTTAGTGGAAAGCTATTCAAGCGATGCTGTCTCACTTAGGCATTTCTGGAGAAAGAGCTATGTTGATAGGTTTCGGTTTAAAAGGGAAGCATTTTATGAAATATTATAAATATTGATTTCACTAACAGAGTCAGACCAATTTATGAGCTTGTGTACATATTAGCAATGTTTTCATTTATATTGCTGTGTTAGATTTCAATGGGGATCCAAACACACAAGTTTTTTCAGGTATATCTTGAAAGACTCTCTTTGGGTAATACTAATTTGGAGGCTCTTATTTCCTTCTTCTAGAAGGACTCATGTTTTTGAGAATTATAAAGATAAATCACAGTAAAAGAGACCAGAGTTCTAATATATTTGTTTATTTCTATGGAACTAGGCACCCACTGATCCAGAGAGAAGGCTACTTAATACAGTTTGACAACCCACAAGACAGTGTACTAGGGACTGGAATGAGTTGCTGAAGTAAAAGACAGCCCTTGCCCTCAAAAAGAACTCATGTTCTAAAGAGAATCAATGAGGGAGAATGAATAAGTATATGCAGGTATACTGACATTTACATAGACACAAACACACATGAAAATTCAATTTTTTTATGAACATTATTTTAGGTTCAATCTAACATATATTACCCTCATGCTCAGGTACTAAAGATAAATGTCTCTCTTAATAGAATAATATAATTTGGTTATCTTTTTTTTTAAGTTTCTTAATTGTGGGTGAAGAGGCTAAAGGGTATTAATCTGGTTCCAAAAACAAGAAAATAAATAGAAACCTAAAAATAAATTAGAAGGGAGATGAATAACCTAAAGGCAGCAGTAAAACTGAACTTTACAAAAGAGCCTCTACCACATGTCTGGTTTACAGAAACAAACAGCAGCTGCGTCTAAAGAAGAATTGTCATGAATAATAGAAGCTGGGGAATATTATCTAAATGATGAAAATCGCTGACAACCAAATTTTTTATCAGATGAATTAAGAAAACAGGAGTAACTTCCATAAAAGCTCTCTATACAGTACAGCATACACAAATACAAATGGAATTCTACTGTATATAAGAGCAAGTACATAATGATTTCACCACATTCTGCCATTCTACATATACACAAATATATGTACAGATATAAGTGTGCTTATTTTAGAACACAAATTTCTCTGAGGAGAATTTCTTTTAAATTTAGGATTTTTCACAGTAGTATTTTCCCTTGCCATTCACACACAGACTTATAAGTGAGAGGGAGGGCTCATCCCTTATTGTCCTGATCAATTAACTTATGTTAAGATATAAAGTATGTGTGGAGAAAAGGAAATCCTTATACACTGTTTGTGGGAATGTAAATTGGTACAGCCATATGGAAAACTGTATAGAGGTTCCTCAGAAAACTAAAAATGGAATTATATGGTCCAGCAATCCCACTTCTGGGTGTTTACTCGAAATATTTGAAATCAATATGTTGAAGAGATATCTGCACTCCCATGTTCATTGCTACACTTTCCACAATAGCCAAGTTATATAATCAACCTGCGTCCATCAACAGACCAAGGCATAAAGATAACATGGTATACACACACATTGGGATACTACTCAGCCTTTAGAAAGAAAGAAATTCTATCATTTGGGACACAGATGGAATTGGAAAACATGCTAAGTGAAATGAATCAGGCACAGCAATAAAAATACTGCATGTTCTTACTTTATGTGGAATATAAACTACTGGCGTTATAGAAACAGTATAGAATGGTGGCTACCACCAGCTGGGAAATGGAAGAATGGGGGTATGGTGGTCAAAGGGTGCAAACTCTCATTTACACAGGAGGAATAAGTTTGTGGCTTTTTTTTTTTTGGTTGTTGTTATTGTTGTTTTTGATTTTGTTTTTGTTTTTGTGACAGGGTCTTGCTCTGCCAGCTAGGCTAGAGTGCAGTGGCACGATCATGGCTCACTGCGGCCTAGAACTCCTGGGCTCAAGCAATCCCCCTGCCTCAGCCTCCCAAGTAGCTGGGATTATAGGCATGAGCCACCGCTCCTGGCCATTTTTTTTAAATTGAGGTGTATTATACAGCAGGATAAGTATAGTTAATAGTGTATTATACATTTGAAAATTGGTAAGAGAGTAAATTTCGAATGTTCTCACCACAGAAAATTTGAGGTGATGGATATGTTAATTAGCTCAATTTAATTATTCCACATTGTATTCATAAATCATAACATTATTTTGTACCCTCAAACATTTGCAATTACAATTTATCAATTTACAATAAAAATAAATGTTTTAAAATATATATAAATAATGGATTGAGGTAAAATTTTTTGATTCAAGTTTAATTTAGCCCCATACATGCTAGATATTGGAAATCTCATTATGTCAGAATAAACAGCATACATAAATTCTATTTCTGATCATTAAAACTCAGAACTCATTTCTGAGCATCACAAAATACAAATGTCTTTGAAAGGCTACAATTCCCTTCTTAAACTCAAAAATTAGAAATATTCACTACAGCCAGGCCTACCTTCACTTAATTTTCAGTTATTGAATTTATCTAAATTATTCTTGAACTTGGATTTAATTTTTAGCTTGTATTACTTCTTAAGGTTGTAAGTTTTATATGTCATTTCAGTGTTTAGAACAAGCTTCCTGTAAGACACAACAGACACCCAAGTACCATTATCTTAATTTTCTATACATTTATCTTCACTGAGAATGCTGAGAATATAGTCTTAAAGTATGTGCTCAAATGAAGTCCTTCCAGTCTCTTGACAATTTCCTAGTTCATAAAACTAGCATATTAAAATTTGTATTTAACACTAGTGTTATAAATGTTTAGCTTTCATTGAAGGCTTTGAGGGAGATATAATAAGAATTTTCATGCATTATTTATAACTATAATATATATGCTTAGTAGTTCTCTTCCATTTTAAATGCCTGGAAAATCCCCTAGGGATGGTCAAATAGTCTTCACACACAGAGTTCACTTGACAGTCTTCCTCCTGACCATGAACCTGTATTGCTCCTTTCTTTATAAGGCTTATCTCATCAGACTATCTCTACTCTGATTTCAATAATCATATCTCCCTCTTCCCTCCACCAAACTTCTGTATTTGTGGGGTTTTCTTACAACCTTTATGTTGATTTTACAGTCCTTTGCTTTGTTTTCCCTAAAAGGTTTACATTTTCTTTGAGGGGAGAAAATATGGTCATTATTTTACCACATAAACTTAAAAAACAAGACTAGCATAATAACTATGCCCTGTCTTTGAACTTAAATATATCTTGCTGGAATGACAATTTTTTATTTCAGAGAGTTATATGTCTTTTACAAAAACTTAGGAAAAAATAGCTAGAGATATTGGTCTTAAATTAACACATGATCTTTAAGTCCAAACAGTACTAGACATGTTATTAAAATTAATTAAGAACAGATGTATGGGATTTCCTTACATTAAAAAAGCTGTATCGAGTCTGATAAAAATGGGGTTCAGACCACAGAAGTTAATACAATAGAATTAGTAATAGAAGCCATTGTAGCTCTTCTGTTAAGAGTTTCCCAATGACAAAGGCTCTACATACTCATATGAGATACACTTCACCTCTCTAAGAATGAAGAACTTTTAACTATCATCATCTGTGCTTCACCTATTCAATTGAATTTTACAAAGTGAAGTATCAGTCCTAATCTAATAATCAGTATGCAATCATAGGAGAAATTTGAGTTCTTTATTACAATTCTAAACTAAATCTTAGACTCTGTTATGTGAGTATAGCCAACTGGAATATTCCAATCAACTTTGATTATTTAGGATGGTAATTTTATCAGATGGAAAGGTATCTATTAGGGTTTCATTTATGAAAATAGCTATGACATTTGAGGAAACAGAAAAACAGTTCAAAAAAGACTTAAAGAGTTGTGGAAAGATTGGCAAGATTGAGAATGAAAAAAACTAGGATAAACAGGTGAAGGAAAAATAGAACAGCAGCTTTGAAATAATAATGGGGACAGTTTTTTACCTTCTTATTGTTGCTTAACACACTTTACTTGATTTTTGAGATCCAGTTTGGGACATGTGAACCTCCATTGTAAGGTTTTTCTTCCATCAATTTGGATTGAATTTTCACTTCAATCCCACTAATTATATGGCTGTTAAGTAATTGATATTCTCCCAGCATTATTATTTATATTTCAAAATATATATATATGTATATAACCTTTATGATATAAAATTATACTTCAAGATCATTTAAAAATCAATTGGATTTGATTTTGTAAATAGTATTATTGCTAAACATACCAAGTTGGTCTTGGCACTACCCAAGAGAGGGTGAAGTTTCTATTACTAATTCTATAATCTTAATTTCTGTTCTCTTAAACCCGAGCTTGTGATAATTTTTCATGAGATACTAATAAAAGATACTAATAAAATTTCAACAGGAAATAATAATGGGGGAAGTTTTTTAGCTTTTTATTGTTGCTGCACACACTTTACCTGATTCTTGAGATCCAGCTTGGGACATGGTCGACCTCCATTGTAAGGCTTTTCTTTTAGCCATTTGGATCGAATTTTCACTCCAATCCCACAAGATGAACTGCAAGACCCCCAGCTAGACCAATCACTTAACTTGCAATCAAATGGACAGGGGATGACACATTCTTCTTGAATATAACCTGAAAGAAAAAAATTTAAGAGAAGAGAGGAAAGTCCTGTCAAAGTGTACTGATCAAATTCACTTCCTATTTCCATTATCATAGCTCAGATTTCTCCACAATATTGCTATAGTGGCTTCAGTAATTTTCTACTCAGATAAACAGACCACAATTTTAAGAGATAGATAAGTATGATGAAATCTACATCCAAATTTGTGCCATTTCATTTACTTCACAGACAATTCTGGGTTGGAAGGAACCGGAAAGAGTACACAGTTCTAGTTTCTGATAAGAAGAAATGAAGCACTTGTGGCTAAAGAAGGTACCACCTCTCTTCAATAGGCTTTGTGCTCCCCATTCTACAATTCCTACAATTCACTGTCTGAAACAGGGAGAAAAGAGTTAATCTTTCTTATGGGTCTATGATCTGCAAGGCATTCACTAAGAAAGATGTTGATTTTGACTTCCAGGTAGTGTGACTTGAGAGTGGGAGGAGGACATAGAATACATCACAAATTAGAAGAGCAGACTATTATTGAAAGAAGAAAACAGAAGAATAATCAAAAGTTGTACAATGGGATATTGCACTGGAATCAAGAGATATGGGTTGAAGTATAGCTCCAGAAGTTCTAGCTTTACTTGATCTTGTTCATATCTTCAGCCTACTTCTTGCTACTGTCTTTCCTAGACAACGTAATTGTTTTAACAATCACTTCTACTGATGACTATCAAATATATACCTTCAGAGGCTGTTTCCCCAGCAGAGTCCCACAGCCCCCTTTTCGCTGTGACTTGGCAACCGGTGCCCCCTTCCAAAGAAACAGTCCCCCACCCTTGGTAGTGCGGAGGAACAAGGGAAGCTGTTCTCCGGGCTGTGACCCGGCAGGGGTGGTGGATTGCCCTTGGCTGTGATCAGACCACTGATATTGCATACCAAAGGGACTGACCCCACATCTGATGAGGAGAAGTAGCGGGACAGGCTGCTTCCTGGTCTGGGTCCCTCAGGGGCCTTAGTCAGGGCTTCTCTAGCAGCCCTGAAGTGTGTACTTCTTACCAACTAGACAACCCTGCCCTTGAAGGGGTGGAATAACAAGGGTAGCCACTTCTTGAGCTGAGACGCCTGGTAGCCCCAAGAAGTGCCCTTCCCCCAGTCTGGTGGGTTATCTCTCCCTCTGGCAGGGCAAAACTCACCCTCGGAGAAGGAAAGAAATTAGAGACGATGTTTTCCTGGCCGGGACTTGCAGCAGTCTCAGCCAACGCCCCTCCCACAGCCTTCCAGGACAGAGCCCGCCCCTGAAGGTAGGTAGAAAGGAGAAAAAATACTTTCCCTGTAGGACTAGCCTGAATCTGTATGACCTTGGATCTAAGCAAAAGGGGACAGTTTGTTGATGTGGTACAGCTGATCGGTTTTGATCATCTGATAAGACCATAACAGAAAAACTTGCCCTTGGTGCTCAGGCTGTTGTCATCTTAGGGCTTGTGGTCTGGGAAGGAAAATTTCAACCTGAGTCCTTAGCAATTGCACCAATTGACACACCCAGCAGGAGTTGCTCCACAAGAGTGCCTAATGAGCCCTGAATAACATATTAGCAGCTCTCTCCTAGCTACAGATCAAGCAACTTCTGAAGTATACCATCTTAGGCATGCCGATTCCTGCTGCTCTTCTCACCACATCTAAAGTGGTAACAAGGCTCAAGTATCCCTTGGGAGTGGCAAAACATTCCTCAAAGACTCAGGCTCTTGTATGTCCCATTTGGGGGTTTAGAGCTCAGCACAAAGGTTCTGGAATACCTTGACAACTGACTCCTTCATGCAAAATACAAGCAACAAAAAAGAGAGTAGCCTCATAGCTCAACTCAGCGCCTTCCACCTCAACCAAGTAGTCGATAGCGGAGTCACGCACACAAAAGTGACCCAACTCCTGGGAATATAAGCAAGGGAAAGAAACTCACTAATCTCCATAAGCAGAAGGAGCAGACAACAGGCCAGAGATAACCCAACAGGCTAAAACCCCACTAAAACAGCATGGTACCAGAGCACATCTCTTCAGCTCTGCCAACGAACATCACATTGCTGTCCCAAAATTAAGTGCATAAACCAGTCCCAGCACCTCCAGTCCTTGACAAAGTAGACTGATGAGAAAGAATCAGTGAAAGAACACAGGAAATATGAAAGATCAGAGAGAAAAGTCACCTCCAAAAGAAAATATTCTATCTCCATCAATTAATACCAACATACATGATAAGATTAAACTGACAGAGGAAGATTCTGATTATGGATTGTAAGGAAACTAAACGGAATAGAAGAGAAAATAGAATCCCAACATAAAGAAACCACAAGAACAATTCAGGAAATGAATGAAAAACTCTCCAAAGAAATTGAAATACTTCGGAAAAACCAAACAGAAATCTTGTCAATGAAGGAGGGATTCAAGGAACTTCAAAACACAGTGGAAAGCCTCAAGAACAGAATGGATCATGCAGAGGAAAGAATCTCAGAGCCTGAAGATAATGTGTAGGTGCTGAACAAATCAGATGAAGAAAAAGAACTCAGAAACAAGAGACAAGACCAAAACTTACAAGAAATGTGGGATTATGTAAAGAAACAGAATCTTAGGATTATCAGTCTTCCAGAGAGAGAAGAAGATACTCAAGGGCTGAAAAACTTATTTCATGGAATACTGGAGGAAAATATGCCAGGCCTGGCCAGAAATCTGGATATCCAGATACAAGAAGCACACAGAACTCCTGGGAGACTCAATGTGAAAGGGCAATCATCACATCACGTAGTTATTAGACTGACCAAAGTAAACATGAAAGGAGCAATTCTTCAAGCATTGAGACAAAAGCAACAAATAACCTATAAAGGAAAGCCGATCAGACTAACTGCTGATTTCTCAACTGAAACCTTACAAGGCAGAAGGCACTGGGTCCCTATCCTTAATCTACTAAACCAGAATAATGCCCAACCCAGAACTCTTTATCCAGCAAAATTAAGTTTCATCTATGAGGGAGTAATAAAGTCCTTCCCAGACAAGCAATCATTGATGGATTTTGCAAAGACCAGACTAGCCCTACAGGAAATACTCAGACCTGCATTACACACTGAACAGCATAATAGACACTCTTCAAAGTAAAATCATTCAAGAGTTAAAGCCTAGAATGTGGACTTCACGATGGCTCAAGGAGCAAAACAAAACAACAGGATTTCCCCCAACAATATGAATGGAAATCTACCACAAATCTCAATCGTCTCAATAAATGTGAATGGTCTGAACTGTCCTCTGAAGAGATACAGGCTGGCAGAGTGGATAAAAATCCACAAGTCTAGTATCTGCTGTCTACACGAAACACATCTAATCCACAAAGATGCCTTCAGACTAAAGGTCAAGGGATGGAAAACTATCATCCAGGTAAATGGAAGTCAAAAGAAAGCAGGGGTAGCTATACTAGTTTCAGATAACATAAGTTTTAAAATAGCAAGAGTAAAAAAGGACAAAGATGGCCACTATATAAAGGTGAAAGGGAAGACACAACAAGAAGAGTTTATAATCCTTAATATCTATGCACCCAATACACGAGCACCCAGTTACATAAAGCAAAGCTTGTCTGATCTAAATAGCATGATAAACAATAACACCATAATAACAGGGGACTTCAACACTCCTCTGAATGAACTGGACAGGTCTTCCAAACAGAAAATAAGCAAAGAAATAATGGACTTAAACAGAGCTCTTGAACAAAAAGGTCTGACAAATTTCTACAGAACATTCCACCCAAATAAAGCCAAATTTACATTCTTCTCATCAGCCCACAGAACTTTCTCCAAAATTGATCACATACTAGGCCACAAATCAGACCTCAACAAATTCAGGAAAATAGAAATTATACAGTGTACTTTCTCGGACCATAGTGGTATAAAATTAGAGTTCAATTCCAACAGAAATACTTGCCATGCTCACAGAGTCATGGAAATTAAACAATCTATTGTTGACTAACTACTGGGTCAAGGAGGAAATACAGAGGGAAATCAAGAACTTCTTCGAACTAAATGATAATGGAGAAAAAAGGTATCAAAACCTGTGGGGCACAGCAAAAGCATTCCTGAGAGGAAAACTGATAACAATAAATGGTCATATCCAAAAAACAGAAAGTTTAGAAATCAACAATCTAGTAAATAGAATCAAGGACTTGGAAAAGGAAGTGCAAACCAATTCCAATCCAAGTAGAATAAAAGAAATAACTAAGATCAAAGCAGAACTAAACAAAATTGAGAACAAGAGAACTATATGGAAGATCAACAAAACCAAAAGGTGGTTTTTCGAAAAGATAAGCAAAATTGACACCTCTCTTGCTAGACTGACTAGAATCCAAAGCAAAATGTTTCTAAGAAACTCAATCAAAAATGAAAAAGGAAAGATCACAACAGACACCACAGAAATACAAAACATTATTTGTGATTACTATGAAAACCTATATGTCCAAAAACTATATAACGAGGAGGAAATGGACAAATTCCTGGAAACAAACAACCTCCCTAAGTTCACCCAGGAGGTAACAGAATATCTGAATAGACCAATGTCAAGCTCAGAAATTGGAGCAGCAATCAAAAACCTCCCAAAACGTACAAGTTCCGGACCAGATGGCTACACTTCAGAGTTTTACCAAACATTCAAAGAAGAATTCATACCTATACTACAGAAATTATTCCACAATATTGAGAAAGGTGGTATGCTTCCTAACTCATTCTATGAAGCCAATATGACATTAATACCAAAGCCAGGAAAGGACACAACAAAAAAGTAAAACTTCAGACCAATATCTCTTATGAATATAGATGCAAAAATCCTCAACAAAATTTTAGCAAATAGAATTCAGCAGCACATTAAAAAAATAATTCAGCATGACCAGGTGAGCTTTATTCCAGGGAGGCAAGACTGGTTTAACATACACAAACCTATAAGTGTAATTCGCCACATAAATAAAAGCAAGAACAAAGACCACATGATTCTTTCAATAGAT